CGAAACAAAAACACAAACAGCTTGGCGAAGGACACAAGCAAACGCAGTTGTGAGTAGCGTCGTTGCGAGCATCGCCTTCGGTGCATCTCCCCCTGGGGCAACGAAACGAGCGTGAAGGGCGTGCCGACATGAGGCGGAGCCGCCATGGCGGACGCTGCCAACGGGGCCGTATTCCCTCTGGGGCCACGAATCGTGTGTGGGGTGTGCCCGAATGGAGTGGCGGGGGCCCATGTGGGCTGCGCCACTGGGTCTTTCGGTGGAGCTCCCTATGCGGCCACGAAGCGTGCGAGGGGTGTGCCGAAATGGATGGCGGGGACGCATGCGAACACCGCCACCCATTGGGTCCTTCGGTGGAGCGCCCTATGGGGCCACGAAGCGTGTGAGGGGTGTGCCCGAATGATTGGCGGGGGCGCTTGCGAGCACCGTCACCCACTGGGGCCTTCGGTGGAGCTCCCTATGGGGACACGAAGCGTGCGAGTGTGTGCCGGAATGGGTGGCGGGCCCGCATGCGAGCACCGTCACCCTCTGGGGCCTTCTGTGGAGCTGCCGTGTGAGGAGTATGCTGGAATGGGTGGCGGGGACGCATGCGAACACCGCCACTGGCTGGTCTTTCGGTGGAGCGCTTGATGGGGCCACGAAGCGTGTGAGGAGTATGCCGGAATGGGTGGCGGGGACGCATGCGAACACCGCCACGTGGAGCTCTCTATTGGGACACGCAACATGTGAGGGGTATGCCAGAATGGGTGTCGGGGGCGCATGCGAACACCGCCTCTGGGGTGTTCGGTGGAGCGCCCTATGGGGCCACGAAGCGTGTGAGGGGTGTGCCGGAATCGGAATGGGTGGCGAGGACGCATACGAGCACCGCCATTGGGGGGCCTTCGGTGGAGCGCCCTATGGAGCCACGAAGCGTGCGAGTGGTGTGCCGAAATGGGTGGCGGGGACGCATGCGATCACCTCCACTGGGGCCTTCGGTGGAGCGCCCTATGGGGCCACGCAACGTGTGAGGGGTGTGCCAGAACGGATGGCGGGGACGCATTCGAATACCGCCATTGGGGCCTTCGGTGGAGCTCCGTGTGGATCCGTGGAACGTGCGGTGCGAGAGGTGTGCCGGAATGGGTTGCGGGGACGCATGCGAACACCGCCACTGGGGCCTGTGCTGCTGCTGCTGCTGCTGCTGCTGCTGATGATGATGATGATGATGATGATGATGATGATGATGATGATGATGATGATGATGACGATGATGATGATGATGACGATGATGATGATGATGATGATGGTGGTGTTGCTGCTGCTGATGATGACGATGACGATGACGATGTCGATGACGATGACAATGGCGATGACGATGACGATGTCGATGACGATGATAATGATGATGATGATGATGATGATGATGATGATGATGATGATCATGATGATGATCATGATGATGATCATGATGATGATGACGATGATGATGATGCTGCTGATGATGATGGTGATGATGATTTTGATGATGATGACGACGATGTCGATTATGATGATGTTGATGATGTTGATGATGATGATGATGATGATGATGTTGATGGTCATGATGATGGTGATGATGATGTTGATGCTAATGCTGATACTGATGATGCTGAAGATGATGAATATGATGCTGAGGATGATGATGATGATGATGATGGTGGTGGTAATGATGATGCTGCTGCTGCTGCTGCTGCTGCTGATGATGATGATGATGATGATGATGATGATGATGATGATGATGGTGGAAAGAGGGAGGAGTAGGCAGCGAGAGGAGGAATTGAGCGCAGCGCTGCGGATTCACAACGAGGACCCAACACAGGATGGTTGGGTTGGGAACAATCGCGGCTCTCAGGGGTTGGCCATCGTTTTCTTATTATTCGCTTTGCCGATCGGCGCGGGCCCTCGCAGCCCCCCCTCCCCCCCCCATGGAGTAGATCTTGGCTGTTTCTGGTGTCTGTTTCGAGCAGGTGGGGTCCCTCCTCCAGAGTCAGCGCTGCTGCAAACAGTCGCACTAAGCAGAGGTCTTGAGCCAGACCTCCCCCTTTCCGCCCAATGTCGAAACGCCGAATAAAAAAACGCTCACTTGCCTCGGCATCACCTCGGGAGCCAGTGTTCCCATTACCAGCGCGTCACGTCCTCTACTGGGGGTTGCGCGCGGGGGAGAGGGGCCTCGTCTTAAGTCGGGCCTGTCCCCCGGACTACAGGGGCACCCCCCGGACTATTAGTCACCCCAGAACTATAGAGGTACTCAGAGTATTTTCGAATAGTTGTTGCATATTTGTTTTATTGTTCGTCCAGACTCCGCCTGTAGGGGGACATTCCCGACCTAAGCCTTGTGACGTCACGTTCTGCGCCCGCGGGGGTGGGGCGAGGGGCCCAGTAACGACTGTGTTGGGAGTGGTTTGGGATGGTGACGACGACCACGACGACGACGACGACCGACCGACCGACCGATCGACCGACCGACCAGCGTCGTCCAGAGGTTTTCGAAGGTATCTGGAGGTGCACATGGGCGGCGTGTGCACATGCGCTGTAGGGTACACAGGCACTTATGGCGTACGCAGGCACTGCGCGCGCCCGACGTGGCGCAAGGCCGCCCCAGCAAAAAAAATTGCACTTCGGTATACACTTGAGTCGGGCTTGTCCCTCTACAGGAGGAATATTCACAAATAGTCGAAGAATAGCCTGGGGACGATGTTTTGATTATGTTTTGTGTATTTTTTATTGGTTCGTCCAAAATCCGCCTGTAGGAGGACATGCCCGACCGAAGTATATACACAGGCATCGAGGCGATGAGGTGCACCCTTTCTGCTGCATCATCATCTGTGGAGTGCGCCAGCGCTGCGGCGGGCACAGGAACTGTGGCGAGCACGGTCGCTGCCACACGATGATTGTGGCGCTTGTGCACGCAGGCGCTCTGGTGCGTATAGATGCTGGTGCAGTCGCATGGGTGGTGTACACAGGCATTGTGGTGTACACAATCATTGTGATGTTCGTAGGCGCTGTTGTTCACACAGGCCCAGTGGTGTACACAGTCGCCGTGGGGGTATACCCCCCCCTCCCCAATGCTGATGCCATTGGGCCCCCCCCCCCGCGCGATGGTCCCCCCCACCACCCCCTGTGGGCGTGGCGTGGTGCTGCGCTGCGGTGCTGCCCCCCCCCCCCCCCTGTGGATGTGGTGTGGTGCTGTGGTGGTTCAGAGGTGGGCGTGGCGTGGTGCTGCGCTGCGGTGCCCCCCTCCCCCCCTGTGGATGTGGTGTGGTGCTGTGGTGGTTCAGAGGTCGTCGTCCTCGTCCTCGTCGTCCTCGTCGTCCTCGTCGTCCTCGTCGTCCTCGTCGTCGTCGTCGTCGTCATCGTCGTCAACGTCGTCCTCGTCGTCGTCATCGTCGTCGTCGCCGTCGTCATCGTCGTCATCGTCGTCGTCGCCGCCGCCGCCGGCGTCGTCGCCGCCGCAGCCGTCGTCGTCGTGGTCGTGGTCGTCGTCGTCGTCGTCGTCGCCGTCGTCGTAGTCGTCGTCGCCGTCTTCGTCGTCGTCTCTAGGACCATACCATCTGGGGGTTGGGGCCCGAGGAATCCTGGGACCATACCATCTGGGGGGGGGGCCGTGTGCCCGGAGCCCGGGACCATACATGCGCTGTGGTGCGCAAAGATGCTGCTGGTGCATGTGTGGTGCACGCAAGCATTATTATGTGCATAGGCGTTGGGGTGCACATGATGCCTAGTATACCTCTTACCTCCCTCTACCCCACATTCTGCTTACATATCTCCTCCCGAGGTCCCCGAGCCCCTGGATCTGCATAGGATAGCTGCTCTACACGGGTCCAGGATCCGAGGGAAGCGGTGCTCTGGCGCCGCTCGGAACGCGGTGCGGAGACCAACCTTTTGCAGGCCCACGGGAACCTGGGGCTCTCCCTCTTTTTAACTTGAGTTTGAAGTTTCGCTGGTCGCGAGCCGCGAGGAAGCTTCGCTCCATTTACTATTTCAGCCAAGTTCAGCCTTCTCATCGTCCTCCCCCCCTCCTCTTCCTCTCCGTCTGCTCCTCCTGCTTCTCCTCTTCTCTCCTTCGTTTCTGGCGCGCGGCAGCATGCAGGAGGCGGTTTGCTCGCGATGCATGTGACCTCGGTAGGTTCATGTCAGAGCCAAACGTGGGTACACACCCTTTGCTCTCTACTGCACATGCGCCAGCGTCTTTTGAGACAAACAAAACATGTGCTGTATGGTATGCACAGGCATTGTGGGCCCTATTCCGAACAGGAAACGTAATGATCTTGGCGAAAGGCCCAACCATTTGCAGTTGTGAGTACCATATTGTGGCACCGCGTTCAGTGGAGTTCCCTATAGGGGCACGAAGCGTGACAGGGGCCTTCAGTGTACACCGCACTCACATCTATACCC